GGCGCAGCTTGCTTCAGATTCATGTAACTGTTGGTATGGTGTACATGAATTGGTTGCATAATTGCCTCAGACAGAATTCTCACATTTGCAACACAGTTTCCTCCAACAGGTCTTACTCCCCTCCCTTTTTCTTACCACCGATATGGTGATATTTCCCTAGGGATTGGTTGCAGCCACAGCACCAGAATGTAAAAGTGTGGCATGTAAGAACTACCAGAATCTGTTACATGTATCTGAAAAAGCAAGAAAACTCTTGCGATGCTTTAACGGAATGAACACAGGACTCTTTAATATGGCCATAACAAAAAAAAAGTGTTGCAGTTGCTTTATTACATTGCCCCCTTTTGTGTTTACTGTGACTGATCCACCCATAGGCCTTGTTCACACGGGGAGCGTTGGCATTCCTGCAGGGGCAACCTACCGATTCCTCTGGCAAGTGGCAGTCCGCATGTAACCGTGTATAATACGATTAAATGCAGTGTGGAATAGATCACTGACGCTGGACACAGGATCAATGCGTTCAGCAACAGTGAACTATTCCACGCCCCATGTAGTCATATCATATACAATGGGGCCTCTGTGCCCGGGTCATTTACTTACATCTAAACGGGACACCTGAGAATCCCAGATCGCCCCATGTGAATGGGGCCACAAATGATAGCTCAAATTTGGCTGCATACTTGTTGGCTCCATCAGCCACTGCTGGATTTCTTGTGGGAATAAATGGGGAATACAGTTGGGGAAGCCAGTCAAAGATTAGCTACATTGTAGATTAATGGGGGGTAACCTAAGGGGGCCAGGGAAGAGCTTCCTTAGCTTTTTAATCTGAGTAATCCATTATATTTTGCTTGCAAGTTAGAGCAGATATTGTCATTATGCTTTTTGACTTTAAATAATAATCAGAAAATAGTAACCCATCTATATGTGAACTTTGAGTATAAGACTGTGTGACTAAAGCTGGCCATACACCTATGGATGATCTGCAGATTTTCTATTGTCAGAAGGAAAATGTGCAACAGATTCCTTCATCTATGCTAAACTCTGTGTATGGAGGAATCTCCCGCTGGGCCAAGCTTCAGTATCTTGCTAGTCGGCCCCGCTGGCTCTCAAAATACCTGAACAGTCTGATTGGATGAGGGCATTGTTCAGGTATTTTAAGTTCCAGCGGGGCTGACTAGCTATACTGAAGCTTGGCCGAGCGGGAGATTCCTCCATCCGCACAGTTTAGTGTAGATGGAGGAATCTGTTGCACTTTTTCCATCTGACCATAGAAAGTCTGCAGATATTCTATAGGTGTATGGCCAGCTTTAGGAGAGGGTCTCGGCAGCTTTAACTAGCAGGCTGCTGCATGTGTGTCAGTTACGGGTTTGTTCTGTCTGTGGTTACACACTCATTTTACATGGGTGTTACTTCCTTCCTCTGCCTGCACTCGCTTCAATCAAAGTTGTTGCACACTATAGATATCCTTACAACAGCTACTGCGTTGGCATATCCCAGTGTGTGCAAACAGATTTTATAGATAAATATTTAGTCCTCTGAAGAACATGCAGAGCTTTGGTCAGACAAATGTTGATTTTTCCACAGTCCAAGTTTGCATACAGTTCTTTTTTTGTTTGTTTTGTTTCTTTTTGCTTTTTATTTCCTAGTTTTTGCAAAAAATGTAATCTTTTTATAAATATCTGTCATTAAATGTCTGGAAGAGAAACCATTTTGGTCTACAGTCCTACACTTGGACAGTAAGAGAATCTCTATGTATTGAGAAGTTGGTACATTAAACAAATCATCTGCCCATCTCCGTATGTTTACTCTGTGCCCTTCACATCTAGCGATATTAAAGGGAAACAGTAATGGCGTCAAGTCACCTTCATTTAATTGTCTATTCAAGTTGATTAAGCAAGTAATAACAGTGACACAAGATCAGTTAAACTCTTCCTTTTAGAAATAACCATTTAAGATCTACCAGAACTCAAAATGAAGATTTTTGGAAATGTTATTTGTGCCCAAGCAGGATCCTGAAATATGTGTCTTTCTGAAAAAGGGCAGAGCACTTGCAGATAAAGTTATCTAGGCACTCCTGTGCCTACACTGTCATATCTGTAGTGTGAGACCTAAGGCACTGCTGCCCCAGACTGGTAGTCTTAGGGGATTTGGAGTGAGATTTAGTGATATCACTGCTGTGTTGCTCACTGTCCTCCTGTCTGACATCACCAAAGTCCTGCTTAACCAAAATGGCTGCCTCCTCACAGAAACACAGCGCAAAAGAAGGCATTTTATGTCCGTAATGGGAAAAGGCTGCAGGCAATACAGGGGCTAGTAATTTGTCCTCTGGCTGCTTTCAGAGTTCAGTTCCTCTTTAAAGCCAATTTCCCACTTTTGCAGAGATATATATTTTTAAATAAATAAGCCAGCAATGTACACCATCTACATGAAGCAACCATACGTAGTTGCTGTATATGAACACAGAAACTAAGATTCTTAATAGCTTTCCGCTTCCTATACTCATGAAAATGGCCACCCTCCGTACTGTGCAAGCAATGTGTGTATATCACAAATGAGCTCTCTCTGTGAGCTCTCTACCTCTCCCACTTCATGGACAGTGTATTGTGTGCAAAGGCAGAGCTGGTGTTTGGTGATCGTGTTATAATGAGTCACACGGAGAGGGGATCTGCTTTACAATCCAACCCCGATGTCAGACTAAATTTCCCATGGAGAAAGTTTTGAATTTCAGGGATTCAAGCCTAATAAAAAGTGAAGAAAGCCTGCACTGTAAGTCATGAAAATGCACACCCATATACATCATCTCCGCACCTCTACATTACCACCATAAATGCTGATCACTTACAAAGATGGAAATTGACTGTACTACAGGGTGCTTCCATGACAAAGGAAAGCATTTCTTCTAAAACAGCCCATTGTAGAAGCTTAATTCTGTCTTCCTGATATTCCATCATTTCTCTAATAATTGTAGATTTAATGCCACAACATCAAATTACTTCTATAGTCATCCTAGTTCCCATGTTCTGGGCCGTTCATTTCCCCCAGTAACTCTAACTGTCTGGAGTGTCCTATGCCTTTTTCTCCAGAGATGTATTTTTTCTATTTCTTTATTCCCTGCCATCAAGTATCTAGCTAGGTGTTGTTGCTCAATCTGCTGTCAGCGAAGTGTTGTTCTACAAGGGCCTGGTGACATTTGAACTGTAATTTCAGAAAGCTCCATTCTTGGCAGCAGTTTTCATTAGCACATACAGCTAAATGTAGCAGTAAAATTATCTTGCTGCACTGAACGGGGTTTGATGGCTGTGTGATTACCACTGTAAACGTTGGGACCCCATCTTGCTGTCTGTGTTTGGCAGACTGAAGTTTGGATATAAAAATAGAATGTTTTTTGGTTGGTTGCAGATTTACTCTGGTTACCATGCGAAAAAAAAGTGGCGCCTCGTAGTTAATACATGTGGGTGTCACAAACAAATGGGGTTTTCCGTTCTGCAAATCATGGCTAATATAACAAGCATATGGGATTATCCTTTATACATTTAGGGAAGTGTAAGGTGTTATTTATTGAAATCTATCAGGTTCCAGCTCTCGCTTTCTTTAGGGGTTTGAAAATAATACTTCTGTATATATGTCACTTGCATCAGGGGTGGATAAATTTAATATGGAATCCAGTAGCTAGTCTGTCCAATCCAGGAGCCAGCAGGATTTTTTAGGACCCGGCTCCATTGACAACTAGAGGAAACTTTAAAAAAGGGCTGCAGCTAATGATTAGTTTCATAATTGAAAAGGTCTTACTGGGCATTACCACATACCAGTCTAACACAGATTGATAAAATTAACAGCCTCAACTGATATTTTTCCACGTATACATTTTGAAAGAAATTACAATGAAAATAATATCCTTTCCTTTTTAACAGACCTAAAGCCAGACAATAAAATCACATACGTATTTATGCTTCAAGATGTTAAATCTGAACTCCAAAGAAATACTAAACACACATTACTACCTCATAAAATTTACTTATTTTAGAGAGAACTAAAGCTAAACCTTTTTTTGGGCTATAGTTCTCTTTTGGGTTACAGGACTACATTTACTAATGTACTCCTGTGATCCAAACTCTGCATATAGCGGGCTACTGCCCACCATATACTGAACATGCAGAGCCGCACTGCAAAGGGGAAATATCCCGACAATATTGTTGGGATCCACACTGCTGCCTGATTAACATCTAGCTCTGCCTCTGTAGAGCCAGGGCCAGCTGGGCCTGCCCTCTAACGGGGCAATCCCTGTGGGGAGCGATGACTGACAGTCATTGCTCCCTGCAGAGAGAAGACCATAAGCTGAGCGATCAGCTGTTTGTGATCGCTCAGTTCTCGATCTATAGAGCCTGTGTGTGACAGTTGCGTGTGTCACACACCAACCAAAGTATTGGGAAGAGTATACTGTATTTTACTTTTCCCAATACTTCTTTAAATGCAGAAGAAGAATTCAACTTGGTTTCCGCTTCTTACAATCCCATGCACAGCAGAGCTCAGACTTGGGAAGAGAGAAGCAGCATAAGGAGCCATAAGGACGAACTCCTCAACCTGCTGCCCAGTCTAGGGAAAGGTCCAGACCTGTAAGTGTTAGTGCACTGCAGCAGGTCTCCTGCCCTGCCAGACTGGGCTGTGCTGTGTAAATCTCAGGACTGGAGGGACAGAAATGCAGAGCTCACATATTGCATTCATGTATTTAGTTGTTTGCCTGGATTTTCAGGGCTGAGATGCAAAGGATGAAAAACTGCAAACAGAAACATTTTATGAACAGAAGAAAGCAGTTGTTTATGATTCATTCAGCTTTGGTTAGAGTGACTTTTTTTTCTCAAGGGAAGCAGAATATTTGTGTCACATTTACTGAATCTCTGTGGGTCCATGATGGGGCTTGCTGACTTCTGAGACTGTTATTTTACTTCATGGCAGGTTCTCTTTAATATTGAAGGTTCACATTTCTTCCTTCTCCTTTACAGCTGATGCTCTTTGGGTTCTTCCTGTGCCTCGATGCTTTCTTGTATGTTTTCACATTACTCCCGCTGAGGGTCCTGCTGGCACTTATCAGGCTCATTACGCTGCCTTGTTGTGGATTAAGGTAAGATGTGATTTGTCTACTCTTTACTCTACTTCTAGGTATTGTTTGTATGTGTTACAAGCTCATAGCATGAGCCCATGATGCGACTTGAGCTTGCTAATGTCTGCTTTATGTAAGCTATTCTAGCAGTCAACATGATCTCTCTTTATTAAACCCTGGAAATTCCTATGTTCCTCAACGCTATGCAAACGGCATTCACCCAACTATATGCTGGACGAAAGATCTATGCAGCAGCCCCTTACATAAAGTTCTATATCAATAAACAGCGAGAAAGTAAAAGAGTAACAACAGATTATTGTCCCATATGTCTCCTTATTAAGAATGGGTAGTCAAAAATGGGCGATTCATGATACCATCAGGAAAAAAGCAGAAGTCATATAAAGGGAAAACACAATAGATGCCCATATCAAGACTTGCTATCTCAGATAAGAGAAGGGAGAATTACACCAACTCAAAGCTGTCATCTTCTCCCCCCCATACCAGTGCCAGGTATTTTGCTGCAACATTTACGCAACGGGTTGCTGTAAAGTTGAGTAGAAGGCGCTTGTGGGGTGGGCTTTAGACTGACCCTGTTACAGTGGTACCTCGGTTCACGAACGCTTCTGTGTCGGTTCGCAAACAGGAAGTTCAGCAAAATGTTGCTACCGTTCACGAACTCCGCATCGGGTGACGAACACAACCGCAGCCATCTTCCCTGCTCTGACACATGGTCGTGGCTTCCTCTAGTCGAGATCGCAGTCTGATCACAGTTTGATTCGGTTCGCAACCAGAATCGTGGAACGAATTAAGTTCGTGAACCGAGGTACCACTGTACATTGCTCTGAATGGGCAAGGGGACAGGATCTCTTTAACCTGAAGTTATCGTGCTTACGCTGCTGATTTAATGTGAATATTTCCAAGTATTTGAGCTTTTTCCTAAAGAAGTTTTGTTTTCTGCCTTTTCTCTGTTGCCTCGTGGAAACTCATTTATTTGGAATGCAGCTGCTACCCGGCTATTACTCTCCATAGATAGTGAACATCAGTGCTCGCTTGCATAGAAATTTAAGAGTGAGGACAAGGAAAGCTTTTGATGCTAACAAAAGCCAATCACTGCTGTGATGTTGATGCCCACATAGTGCAGTCATAAGTCATAAGTCATATCAGTATGTCATATAACTTGTCATCATGAGGCTGCGATTTACCAGCTTCAGCAATCTCATTTTGTAGGAATATTGGCTATGTAGCTTCTTTTTTATGGTATTACGCTTTCAAAGTGTTTTTAGAGTGCAGTATATAGTGAGTGAAGAGACATTGATAAAAGAGCAGAGATGCCAAGTCATCCTATTAATTGCTGGATTACACAGGTTTTGGTGCTAATGAATTGCAGGTAAGGCATTGTCTAAATCTAATTACCCGCAGAGTCTGCATAACGTCTAGACATCATCAGTTACAGGGATGAACTGGCAGCCTTTAAAGCAATCAGATATAAATGATTTTCTTACATGTTCACTGACATTATGTTGTCATTCATGTATTGCCGTTTATATGTGAGAATCATTATTACATCAGCACTGTTATTTCTAAGATGAGTAAGACGAACTGTTCTGTCTTCTGAATGTCAAATGGCTGCTTCTGTGTCGGTGTGAAGCAATAAGTGGAATGGTTTGCTTGTGTTGTGGCAGACTGTGGCTTTGCAGCTGATCCTTTATAACAACACTTATTCTAGTGATTGCGACACGTGAAATAACAGCCATGTAATGTAAGCATATTTTATATCTGCCGTTGTGTCTTGTCTGATGTATATAGTAAAAGCAGCTCTTAAAGCTGAACTCGAGGCAGATATTTAAAAAAAAAAAGAAACAAAAACAATTAAAGTAGTTATATATTTATTAAATATTAAAGATCTCTTCACACCATCAAACCGTGCTGAATGCATGGCTGCTGGTGTGGGCTGACAGGTACAGTGCTGATGCGCCAATCCAGGTACATTGCACGTTTTTACTTCTTTTTTTTTTAGAACTTTATTGAATTGTCACATGCTTTAAATTCTGTGGGCACTGCACGGTGTGCTGTGGTTGTACCACATTGCACCATTCTGCTCTTATCTGTGCATGGGGGCTGCTCTGGAAAGAGCGCCCAGCGCAACACCAACGCATCGGGTGTGAACGGGCCCTTAATGAACTTTTAAATGCATGTAGTGTATGTACTTGAATCTTTCCTCACGTAAACCTCCTGCAGCACTCAACCAGAACCAGAAGCCAACCATGCTTTGCTACATGCACATGTGCTGACAGAATGTTACAGCAGAGGGATGACTTCATTAGTATGTTGCTGTTCCTTCAATCTGCAGACTGGCAGGTGTTGTTCGACCTTGGCAGCCATATTTCTCTTACAACAGGTTTACTTTCAGGGCTCATACAGATGTATGGCATGCACACCTGTAAAAAGACCTGATCACAGAAGGGACAGGTGCTGAGTGTAAAGCTGGCCATACACCTTACAATTATCTGTAGATTTTCTATGGTCAGATGGAAAAGGTGCAACAGATTCCTCCACCTACACTTAACTGTGTGGATGGAGTAATCTCCACCTGGGCCAAGCTTCCGTAATCTTGTTAGTCGGCCCCGCTGGCTCGCAAAACACCTGAACAATGCCTGCATCCAATCTGATCAGATATTTTGAGAGCCAGCGGGGCGGACTAGCAAGATACTGAAGCTTGGGAGATTCCTCCATCCACACAGTTTAGTATACAGGTGAAACTCGAATAATTAGAATATCGTGCAAAAGTTCATTATTAGTGTGCACAGAAGCCTGTTCCAGACATCCGTGTGGCTCCGGGTGTTCAGATTTGGATGCGCACTGCCAATCACCAGGCCCAAACACTGCTACATAATATGAAGCTTGTCAGGGTTAGACCTTGGTACTCTGTTGAAGGAACACAGGGGGGGAGCACAGGGAATGTGTGTATCGGTGGGCAATGTTCGGCCGTTGATATTTCTCTAGGCCCATATAAATGACAATGTCTTTTTGGGCTCCATCACTTCTGTCATCAGCCTGGAGAAATGATTGTGACTAGAGCTGCAGCTAACGATTATTTTCAAAATCGATTAGTTAGCCGATTATTAAGTTCGATTAATCGGATAAACAATAAAATACATTTTAAAAAATGGCTCCAGTGATGGACTACTAGTTTGTATTAAGGTTGTAGTCCATCACAGGAGCAAGCTTGGAGCGGTGGAAGTAAAACAATGGTGTGGTGTGCAATATAGTGAAATGGAAAGTGTAAAATTATACATCAATGAATGCTGAATGGCATTGGCTATAGAGGAGTACAAATCCCAGCAATAGTACATTATACAGCGCAATGCAGAATATCACCAGCTATAGAGGACTACAACAAATCCCAGCAATAGTACATTATAGCTGGCGGTATTCTGCATTGCGCTGTATAATGTACTGTTGCTGGGTTTTGTAGTCCTCTATAGCTAGTGGTATTCGGCATTGCACCACTGTATAATGATAATTGTGACCATGAAAGACAATGTTTAGGAGAAGAGCTACCTTGGGCTGTACTGTCCACTAGCGATTAGCTGGGGCTTGGTGCAGGCCAAGGTCACCTGAGTTCGCCCAAGCCCACTCAAAACTATGACTGACAATACCCCCCCACCCCAGCCCAATCAGCTGTGGCATGTGCATTCCCTCCCCATAAAAACTCGGGTTCGCACTAAGCCCCAGCTCATCACCACTTTTCAACAATAATGCACCATCATAGAAAACAGAGGCAGCTTGCCTTTTAGAGTGTGGAGCATCTTGTACTAATGGTGACAATCATCTAATATCTAAGGAAACTTTAAAAATCCTTGTGGTTCCTCATGACAAATAGTCCTGGTAGTACGTGGTCCTCCTTTCCGGGACATGTTTTCTCCAAATGCATTTAACCATAACTCTCTGACTAAGTGAGGAATGTGTTCTTTTTTGGATATCGCTGACACCCAGCACATCTGTGGCAATGCTCCCTTAAAGAACTACTCCAGTATTTTAAAAAAATGAACCCTTGCCAGTGGGGCTACTCCCTGCACTGCAAGGGTTAAGTGCTCATTTGGGCCTAGGGGCTCAAATGAAGAAATACCCACCTGGTCCTCGGTCGTGCGGCAGTGGCAGCTCACTTCTTTACCACTGTACCTTCTGCATGTGGTATGTCCCTGGGCATCATCCTTGCCAATGGGCCTGTATTAGACGTGATTTACGTCACAGGTCCTGGGGCGGCAGGGACTAGTCTAGAAGCCAGGCAGGACAGAGGATTATGTGAGTTTTTTTCTTTATTTGAGCCCCCCCCCCAGACAAAACGAGCCCAATTGCAAGGGTACCTTTTTTACAATCCTGGCATTGTTACATAGTTACATAGTATTTGAGGTTGAATAAAGACATTAGTCCATCAAGTCCAACCTATTAGGATCTCATTCTAGGAGTACCTGTACCCCTGTATATTACGGTCCCTTAAGAAATCGTCCAAAAGTTTCTTGAACAATTCCACATTATTTGCTGAAATCACCGCCTGTGGCAGTGAGTTCCAGACCCTAACTGATCTTACTGTGAAGAACCCCCTTCGCCCCTTGTGCTGGAATTTTTTTTCCACCAATATTAGGTGGTGGCCTCTAGTTTTTGTAATGGAATTAATTTTAAACAGTTTATCCTTAATGGTGCTACCACCATTGAACATCTTGTACATGGAAATCATATCCCCCCTTAATCTCCTCACCTCTAATGTGAACATGTTTAAATTTAGTAGCCTCGTCTCGTAGCTCTGGTCCTCCATACCCCAATTACAATATCCTCGATTTAACTCTGCAATCCTCGATTGTTCTTTGAATAGATGTGCTGTATTATCCCCAAGACAGTGCTGGGTCTTTACTACAGGCAATATTTCACTAGTATATGACAGAGATTCTTTCCACAGGAGTAGAAAAAGCTGCCATTTCTGGGGACATTTGTACTACAAAAAAAATGAAAGGTCATCTCCAGGCAAACCAAAAAAACTACCCTTGCAGTGGAGTTACCCCAATACTACAAGGGTGAAGTGCTCATTTATGCCTAGTGGACAGGAAAAAACTGGTTTACTCACCTAAGCTCCACTACTGCCCGCTCTCTCTGGGCTGCCAGGCTGGTCCCCACAGCATCTTCTCCCCTACGCTCCGGCGCTCTAAGGACCCCTAATGTCATCATGTCTAATGCAGGTTCGGCAGGCCTGCATTAGAAGCGAGGGACTTTCGACCAGCCAGAGTGGAGGGTAGACGGGTTCGTGCTGACTATTGGATAAGCAGGGTCTGGTAAGTAAAACTGCTTTACTCCAGTCCGCTAGGCATTAATGAGCACTTAACCCTTTCAGTGAGGGGGTAGCTCCACTGCAAGGGTAGTTCCTCTCTGAGCGCTGTAGTTTCTTCTACCGCACACTTAATCGCTCCTGGGCATTGTACTTATGTCATGATTGGTGAGAGGGACCACAGCACCCAGCGCCCCTGTCACCAGCAGTGGTCAGATCAAGTTCTGTCCTTTCCTACTGCTGTGGACCTCTATGCAAAGAAGCAGCTGGCGAAGTTCACCAATGACCTAAAAAAACACACACAAACATTTTCCTGGTTTTTCCTGGTCAACATAAGTCCAGATTCCCTATAAACTTTAGGCTGGGTTCACACCTAGGCGTATCGAATATGCGCGTTTGTCGTGCATTTCGTGCCACGCGTTTCGTGCCGCGATTCACGGTAAAAAAAACCGCGTGACAAACGCGCGTTTCCGAGGGCTACCTGGCTGTATCCCAATGGATATGCGCGGTAAATACGGACTGTAATACGCCCAGGTGTGAACCATGCCCATAGGAAATAATGGGATTTCGATGTTTGAGCGTTTTGCAGAGCGTAGGAACGCGCTACAAAACGCCCAGGTGTGAACCAGGCCTTAGACTTAGGCTTAAAAAATGTTTTGGCTTGAGATGTGTTTTATGTTATTCTATGTAATAAATTTATGTTTTTAATTACACCTTTCTGTTAATTAGATTTGTCAATATTGTTATTAATTATTTTAAGCAATCATTAGCGATTTAGGAACCTAAGGGCCTGTTCACATGAGATCAGGTCCTGATCAGCAGACGTGGAGCTGCTGATGCAGTGCGTTTTTGGCCGCGTTTTTGATGCGTTCCAGCAAAAAAAAAAAAAAGTTTTTTTTGCTGGAGGGGGGCTGTTGGTATGTTAGCTGCAGGGAAGTGCGTTTTTGACGCATTTGCGTATCCGGACCGTTTCCGGACCTGACAAAATGTGACAGGCAGTATTAGCTGCACGGACTGCGCATGTGAGAACTGGAGCCCATAAAACACATAGGGATACATTGGGATGCATTTTGAGTGCAGCAGCGTACAGATCCGGTCAGCACACAAAACGGACGTCGTGTGAACAGGCCCTAAGAGTCGACATTGATGTTCCGAAGTGCATGAAGTCTTCAGTTTTTGTCAAACCTGTGTTTTTCAAGGAATGACACTAGATGGCTCTGTCTCACTATCCTTCAAGATGAATATCTGAAATACGTGTTTTAGGAATGCTCCAGATTGTTTTGTACATGTATTCACATTGTATTAGAAATGTTACCATTAGATATATACAACATACTTAAAATGGACCTTGCACTATAATACAAAGTTTGCTTATTTGGCAGCTCTGATTTGGAATCAATCACTGTCCCTAGACGCATATATCCTATATCCAGGGACCATGATCTATTCCAAACTACATGTAATCTAGCACATATGATTACATGCGGACTACCGCTTACAAATGCGTCCACTGTGACCCAGTCATTAACTTGAACGGGGACAGCGGCCTCATCTAAATGGGACATTTGGGATTCCTAGGTTGCAGCAGAAATCCCAAATCGCCCATTGTGAATGAAGCCTAACATTGTGAATGAGCGGTGGCTCCCAACTGTACATTTAGCTCTGCTTGTCCGGAGCAGGGCTAAATGTACAAAAAAACAACTCGCCCGGCGCCCGAAACTGCATGTCCCGTGCATCGGGTAATAGGAATTCCACACCCCTGAAAGCCTATTTGTTATTATGCTGCAAAATGTTTTATTACTTTTTAAAACATTGCATATCCTTACCACTTCTGAGTGGCGACTTCTGCTAGTTTGCTGCGCTTCCGCGCCATCTCAATCTTGGGTAATCTCTCACGATGCCTTGCACAACTTGTCACATGCAGCAGTATCTCCAGACTGTAGCAAAGCCTGGCAAAGTAAAAAGGTGGGTGGGAATGTGGGTGGAGCATTAGGGTGGAGGATGGAGCTGTGAGGGAGCAGTGAAAAGCAGGGTACTAGTTTCTAAGGCCTGGTTCACACCCGGGCGTTTTACAGCACGTTCCTACGATCTGTAAAACGCTCAGCATGTGAAAACCAATGATTGCCTATGGGCATGGTTCCCACCTGTGCGTTTTACGTAGGAACGCACTGCAAAACGCCCAAAGAAGTACAGGAGCTTCTTTGGGGCGTATTGCCACGCGTATCCATTGGTATACAGCCAGGTAGCCCTCGGAAACGCGCGTTTGTCGCGCTGTTTTTTTACCGCGAATCACGGTAGAAACGTGCGACAAACGCGCATATTCGATATGCCTAGGCGTGAACCCAGCCTGAGCGCAGTGCTTCTGTGTGACTACAAGGGAGACATTAGGAAGGCAGAATGAGATGTGGACAAAGTCATACAGGAAATGTACCATATTTGCCGGCGTATAAGATGATCCCCTAATTTTCCAGGTAAAACATAGGTTTTGGGCTATAACAGTATTAGCAACATACTTAGCCCACATTTGAGTACATACAGTATTACCGCACATCCAGCGGGCTGACAGATTAGGGACGTTCGTTTTGGACCAGCTTGGCCCAAACGAACTAAAGGTATACATTGTATACCCGGCGTATAAGACGGCCCCCGATTTTCGGGGGATGTTTTTAAGTATATAAAGTCATCTTATACGCCAGCAAATACAGTATGCGAATGGGGTTCTCAGTACCTGAGGTGTTTATATGGACTAAATGGAAATAGCACCTTAAAGGAGAACTATGAGGTGACTGCTTTTCACTCAGCCTCATAGTTCTAGCCGACCTGTGACAATGAAACTGTCACAGGTCGGCTCAGCAGACCGGGAAGTGAGCGAACACATACCGATGCTCGCTCACTTCTCGATCCTGTCACTGCAGAGAGCCGTGACGGGACCCTCCCCTGTCCGATCCTCCAGCGCTGACTGGCGAACGTGTGTGGGACGGGGCGCGTACAGCTGACTCTGCCTCTAGATAGACAGAGCCAGCTGTCACTCATGCAGCTGGGCGGATCCAGACATAATTGTCGGAATCCGTTTCAGCTCCGACGTCTCAGTATACCGCAAGCTGTAGCTCGCGATATACTGAGCTTTGGGTGATGGGAGGACCTAGTTTGTGTCCTCCCATTACCCTTCGGAGAACTATGGGGAAAAGCCCTAACCCCATAGTTCTCCTTTTAAAGGTGCCCGCACACTGGCCAAATTTCAGATGGTTTTTAATGTACTGTCTGAAATTCGGCCAGTGTGTGGGGCTGTTGGCTTCCTTTCAGCTGGCATTCCTTGATCAGCTGGCATTCCTTGATCAGCTGATTGAAGGAGTCAGCTGGAAAATCTTCGTGCGATCAGAGTCGGCAGCCAATGAGCTGCCCACTCATCGGGTATCGTGCTGGTGGCACCTGTCGGAATACAATGCAAACAGCGGCGAAACGCTATTAGTGCTGATGGCGGAATCGCGTCAATTTCTTCTGTTCAGCCCGCGGGTTGAACGAAAGAAATTGACAAGTGTTTGGCCAGCCTTAGTCTTGCGCTCTTTGTTAGAACAGACAGTGTTCAAATCTAGTTTACAGTGGGGATCTGCCAGCACAGTACAGACGGGGTTAATTAGAGTGAACATAACTTCTCACAGCACCCTCCTTAATGTTACATAAGGGGGAAGCTAGGTACCGTAGTAATTTTAAGCAAGTATAAAGCACTTCTAAAGGTAAGTGGAAAAGCAAGCTAAGCAATGTGCGTGAGAACAGATTACAAATATAAAATAGAGGTTACCTCATATTGGCTGCAAAAGGGGAAATACTGTTGTAGTATTAGATGTAAACCACAAGTTAATTTACCAAATACAGTTTGATTCACTTACGCATTCACTTAGAACATGTAAATTACATGTATTTTTTTAGCTAAAAATAATATAACTACCTAAATCTGTATTGTATCAGCCGCCTCTCATAACAGCACAGCAAGTCTCTGACTAGGAAAGGGAGGCGCAGCGAGCTAATAAGAGCCCTGTTGTTCTGCACAATGGCGGTTAATGAACAAGCTGTATTTTCCAGTGTATTTATTGATATGACATTGACATTGACAGTGATTGTGATAGAACCTGTTCACGTTGCATGTTGTGTTATCGAGAAAAAAGTCTTGCCTTCTGCACTTTGGACGCATTGACCTGTATTTTTCAATTCAAGCCAAATGACTGAAAACAAATGAAAAGAAAGCCAGTATTTTTTATATATGCAGTTTTTATTAGCTGTCATGCAATTCATGTGTCTGTTCAATTCAATTTACCATCATTTACTTATATTGTGACTGACATGAATTCTTGGCTTTCCAGTGATGGTCGGTTGTTTCAGCCAGCACAGGTCTGTGACATATTGAAGGGAGTGATACTAGTGATATGTTACTTCATGATGCACTATGTGGACTACTCCATGATGTACCACCTCATCAGAGGACAGTCAGTCATCAAGCTTTATATCATCTACAATATGCTTGAGGTAGGTACTGGTCTACCTTTGCATGCCATAACTATATCAGTGTTATTGTGTAAAATATTGCTGCTGAAGCTTATTACGTCAAGGGTACCTGTACATTTAGGTGCTGATGTTTATTATGTGTCCTGTGCCGTCACTTTTGTCCGCAATAACTAAAATACATCCGTGCAGTACCATATCCAGACCAGGATACACCACAGTGTAGGGATGTCCTGATACCGATACTAGTATCGGGGCCGATACAGGGCATTTACACTTGTACTCGTGAAATTGCCCCGATTCTAAAGGCTAATACGGGCCCTTTCAATTTTGAAACAAGTTCAGCTGCCTAAGGTCCCGTGCATGCTGGGGACTTTGCCGTAGCTGTCTTTGACAGTGCCGGTCCGGCCCCACATCTCCTCCTCCTTTCTGGCACCCACAGAGACAGGCACAGCAATGGGCAGCCCCACAGCGCTGTACAACCCTGGAGCCCGGTAGCCACATGCAGCCCTGGTGAGACCCGCGCACAGCCCTGTATAATTGCTGTATAATCATGGATGGATTGATGGAATCAATGATCTTAAAACAATAGAGAATGGCAACCATTCTCCATTGCTGAATAATCATGGATTGAGTTACAGTTCTTCATAATTATAAAGGAACCCCCCTAAAATCATGAGTCTGTATTGTTTTGGAAAAAATTTCACATGCCGCCTTAAGAAAAAGTATCCGTAATTAGTATCGGCAAGTACCTGAGGGAAAGTACTTGTACAGGTGAAACTCGAATAATTAGAATATCATGCAAAAGTAATTGCAGTAATTGCTGCAAAAGGGGCCCAAACCAAGTACTGAGTACATATGCATGCTTGTACTTTTCAGATGTCCGATATTGTTCTATGTACAATCCTTGTTTTATTGATTGCATGTAATAATCTACTTTTTTGAGGTTGTGGATTTGGGGTTCTTGGGGTTTTCATGAGCTGTAAGCCATAATCATCACAATTATGACAAATCATGGCTTGAATTATCTTGCTTTGCATGTAATGAGTCTATCTCATATATTAGTTTCACCTTTTAAGTTGCATTAGTGAAATAAATGAACTTTGCACGATATTCTAATTATTCGAGTTTCACCTGTATTTGTTTAAACATGCACACATCCTGCAGTTCTAGTATAAAAAGACACGCATATGGTGAAGTGTATGTGGTGTGTTGGTGTAGGTCCTACCTCATTAATCTGTTCACCTTTTGTAGGTGGCAGACAGAGACATCGGAAAAGGGAGCTTGTTGATAAGCTCTCTGATACCTGGGCACACTAGGTGCGAATACGGTGTATTGACTGTCATTTTTGTATATGCACTGTGACATGTTTTAAGCCAAGGCTAATCTACTACTGAGGATGACACAAAAAAGAATATGATGCTTACCTGTCAGCAGCTCTGAGCTCTGGAGGCCATCACCTTAAAAGTGGCAGAAGATGTGGTGGCTGTTACAGGGCTGATCTGTGTGCGGGGAAGTCAGTGGTCAGCTGGCTATGCAGAGCATCTTTTGGAACCTGCTAGAAGAATCTGAAAGCTGCTTTTGGCACAGTAAGTGCTGAAGTGATTCACATAGACCTACCCACAATTCACTTCTGCTGCTGCTGGCATACTCCTCTAGATTGAATACAGCCCACCGTGGCAGTGGAGAAGGCCAAAGGATGATGCCATGGCAAATCAAGTCCGAGGTGAGTAAGTAGTAAGGGAGTTTGGTCATTCTAATACGTTTAGTGCATGCAGCCATCTCCCATGCCATGCAACCTTTAACCCCTTCATGACTGAGGCCCTTTTTTCCATTTTTGCACCCATGTTATATTCCACATTTTAGGCCAGAAATAACTGAGCACGTTGGTGTGAACTAGAGCCCAAAATACTATTGGAATACATTGGATGCAGTTTTGATGCGTTCTGTAACTGCTCTGCATCTGCTTCACAATTGGTGTGAACAAGCTCTAAAGTAGAACTGTGGCTGGTTTATGGACATTCAAATAGTTACATATTCTTAACAAGCAACTTTCAAACAAACCATCATGTACCTTTGTATCTGCAGACACTGTGGAGTAACTCATCCGGAAAGTTTACAGCAAAAACACTTATTTTCTCTCAGTGGTTTAGATCATTCTGCTCCTCCTTGCAGCCATGATTTTACAGCCTGCCAACACATATTCAAGTCAAAAGGGTTTTAAGCTTTCAAATGCTGATTGAATGACTACTATTGGTTTTTACTTCTTTATGTTTAAATGCTTTACTTTCCTGCAAAGTCATCTGGTCCCCTGAGCATTGACTTCCTGTTTTAGGGGCTCTCCTGTCCCTTGTAGGGTCCGATGGAACCACCCTTGTGTGTGATAGTAAGCTGAGTGTGTCAAAATCCACTGGATCAGAATGGCAGCTGCACAAGTAGTATTTCACATATTTCTCACATGACGGGTTTTCTTTAGAGGGATGATGGGATTGCTGACATTTTTGAGATTAAAAAATAAATATTGTTTAGTAGGCCTGACCCTGTTAGTCTTCTTGGGTGCACAGTCTTATTCCTGCTCTGATCACAGCTATGATCTGTATTTATAGATGGTTCTCTGTCTTTATTCCAGGTGGCAGATCGCCTCTTTTCATCTTTTGGACAAGACATTTTGGATGCTTTGTACTGGACAGCCACTGAGCACAAGGAGAGAAAGCGGGCGCATCTCGGTGTCATCCCTCATTTCTTCATGGCCGTGTTGTACGTCTGTATCCTTTATCCTTGGGCTGATTTGTGGTGTGTGTATATAGACCTTATTCTATTTATTTGATGTATTAATGCAGCATTGAGGAAAGAGATATTCATGGAACGGTTCCAGTATTTATATTTCACTTTGTATATGAGAATATATCTACCACTTTGTTATTTAGGATTGCTAACTTTGAATTGTCCAGGTTAATAGATTCTTTTAAATAACAAAAAGCTCAACTAGGAAGTCTGTGTACTTCCTATTCACCATCGGAATTTTACTGAACAAGCTTTATGTACTGTGTGTATATACAGTGTGTGTGTATATAGAGATATATATATATATATATATATAATAGGTTTGATTAAAATTTTTAATCGATATATATAAAGGGGTGTACCGATACCAGTGTGGATACTTGGCATTTTTACGAGAACTACCAGGGTTGCAGCTGGGACCCGGCTCTGGCGCTCCACCACTGTCCTCAAATCATTAGTTGATAATGTTTTAGAAAATCTGTCACATGACAAACAAAAATGTGTCAGTACTTGTATCTGTAAGTACTTGTAGTTGAAAAAATGGTATCAGCGCATCCCTTCTATATGTTTATAAAAACAAAATCTTACATTAAAAAAAAGATGTGCAAATCTCAGGAGCTCCGTATGCTCCTCAAAAATGACAGCTGCCTCCTAACTTTTGAATTTTTCTCTAGTCTAGTCTTGGAGCTGGAAAAGTATCGGTACATGTACTTGTACCGACTACGGTACTTGGTATCGGTGCATCCCTAAAATATATCATCTTTCAATGCTTTAAAACCCATCATCCGAATTAAAATCTGTTGCTACTTTTGCCAATATTCTAACACCAGCATTGGCCAGCATTTCTTTGTGCCATGCTAGCACAGGAAACGGCACTTTGAAAGGTGTTTAGGTTTTACTTTATATCATTGTGGTGTAATGTATACGGATACTTTCCTTAACCTCTCTGTTTATAGTTTTACATGCAATCCTGATACTTGTGCAAGCCACCACTCTCAATGTGGCCTTCAACTCTCACAACAAGTCCCTGCTCACCATTATGATGTCTAACAATGTAAGTGCCTTGTGCGATCTAGATGCTAAAGCAGTACTTAAAGTGGAACTTTAACTATAAGGGCTGATAGTACCTGATCCCGGGGGGGAGGGGGGGGCAGGTGCTGCGTGTGATTGCGCGCAGCAGCCTTTTCTTCCCTATGGGAGGACACGGCTGTACGGTGTCATGCGGACACCCGAACTGCACATCCATGCGGGTACGGATGCCCGCACTTGGGCGCAGACCGGATACATCCTGTCTGTGTCCAAGTACGGACACCCGTACCCGCACAGATGACCACGTACAGCCGCGTCCTCCCATAGGGTAGAACAGTCTGCTGCGCGCAATCACACGCAGCACCTGTCCCTCCCGGTATCAGCTGTTTACGTGCATGCACACCACACGGACAGGTATGCCAAGTGTGAAAAAGGCCATAGCGTACCATAATCGTATTTTCTCTGCTGGGACTGACAGATGCAACATACAGCCACCAATCAGCCTGTGGTAATCAATGGCAGGCTATGACTACATGCATATATACGCAAATCCAAGTGGCTACATGTGTACATGGCCATATGTGCCTCCTCGTAGTCACTCGGATTCCACTATATTTGCATCCAGCATACTGTACTACACTCCCAGCAAAGTATATAAAGCTGTATTGTATGCTATTTGCCCATTTACTGTTATTTTCATGATCCTTTACAGAAATGTCAAATATTTTTCTCCATTGTCTATTGAGGACACCTAGAATTCTACTGCCGCATAGGTTGCCTAATTATCATCAATCTGTGTCCCTCAATTGACTCAGAGAAAAAACATTTTACAGGGAGTACAAAAATCTTTTTTAATTAAATTTTTTTTTAATTGTCATACAGAATACACATGACACATTAAATATTATAATTTCCAGATTAATGTGAACTGTTAATTGCTCTCTGCACTGCTCCTTTTCTTTGTTGCCTCGGTCCACCATATTGCCCCGGAATCCAGGGAGATCAGTCACTTCCTTGTTGAGAGGTTTGTCTACCTCTTCACACCTTTTTGTGCATTATTCTGTATTATGACCCATGGTTGTGTATAATAGTGGGGGCCTGTCAGTTATTACGCAGTTCTGGGGGGCTGGCTTTTTCAGTCCAGATGCACACTGCTTTCAAGGCAGGAGAAGTAGCTCACGTTTTTCAGTTCCCCCTCTGTTTCTGCCCTCATCTGTTGCTTAGTGCAAAACTGTGCTACTCTTTCATTTCCCATAACGTCTTCCAGGACAGCATCACGAGATGGAATCTCCTCCCCCACACACAGGAAACACGTCACTTAATCTGTTTAAAAGACCCTCCTCTCCTCCACTCCCTCAGTCTTTTGTGTTTCCTCAGTCAAGCTGGGGAGCGCGTCACAGAACGCTGAGAGAGGGCTTCCCTGTGGTGATGCTGCCCGGGAAGTCTTCCTTTTATGTTGGCCTGCCTGTGTAAGGCAGAGGGGTAGGTTTGCCTACCTTGTGTGAGCCCCAGGGATTCTCCTAGCGCTGCAGGAGATGAGGCTGTCTTCCTTTCCCCCTTCAGTGCCCAGTGCGGGCCGGTACCGGGAGGACGAAACCCCCTTGGCTGGTCAGGGGAAACGGTGGAACCCTCCCTCTAAATTTTTATTAAAGGGCATTGCAGTAGACACACTTCCCATCTAGATACCCAGGCTCACACAAGTCCTACTGAGTGTCTGGCCCATCAATTACCGCTGCTGTGTTTTTATATGGTGCACACAACTTCCAAAGAGCCAGTTTCAAACAAATGAGAAAGAGCTTGCATCCTCCCTTTGTACTATATGTTGTGTTGCTCAGTGTGGGTACAACTGACTTACTATGTTTCTTGTATTGGGAGGTGATTGTGTGCTGTATTATTCACGTATACAGAAGGAGTAAGAAGCATCTGTTTTACTGTCTTCTACTGTTTACATTTAGGAAAAACTGTGTATTAGCATGATGTCTGCACAATGCCAATCGCTGTTGCTGTTGGCATTACTGCAGTGATATGCTGGCTCCTCCCACAGACCAGGGCACAGCAAGATGAAAATCCAAGGGTGGTCATGGGGCCACTTTTTTTTCTTTCCAGTTTTACAGTAGAAAACCTCAGACAGATGTTGAAATATGGGAAGATATCTGCACAGTTGCAGGTGGAAGTAATACAAATATAGATTGCTGAAACCTGGAGATCTGCTTTAACTCCTGCTTCTAATTATCCCTTTACCCGTTTACTCCTTTTACCCCTTCTGCTCAAGCCTCCATTCACATATAGCGTTTGCATCTCCCGCGTTGTTTTCCGTGCGGGAAACCGTACGGGACGAAAATGCTGAAATCTTTACAACTGCACGGATACCGCTCGATTGCAGCTATTACTATAGCCGCGAACGTGCGGAATCCGCCTCTGAAGTTGCACTTGGGCTATTTTACGGGATGCGCGGTTTTGTACCGCGTGGTCCTTGCAATAGTCTGAGCAGTGCACATTAACGTGAATCTTTTTTAATGTTTAGAGCGGTTCCGCACGGCTGGATACGCGTGGTCAACCGCTCCTGTGTGAATGGAGCCTTACCTTTCTTCCCCCACATCTGACCACCGTTAGCAGACTCTGCCTTATTGCTCCACTCACTCGGCAGCTGGTTATGACTATCATCTCATCAGGCTCAAAACATACATGTTCTCAGCACAGAGAGCAGGAGAGAACTACAACTGTGCAGATGAGCCTTAGAACCATAACATTGCTAACTAAACAAAACTGTACATGGGCATGTGATTCATACTCAGCCTGCATGTGAATACCTAGTAAGGAACCCAAATTATTTGTTTTTTAATTCTTTCATTTGTTCCTTCATTGCCCTTATGTATATTGTATGTTTTTCCATTATGAAGTGTATTGTGGATGGAGGACTTAGGATATATGTAAAAACTCCTCTCCAGTGAAAACAGTCACTTGTGCTGTATAACAGTAGTTAATGGATATACAGTAAACTCTTAGTTATCCGGTATTCAACTAACCAGAACTCTAATCTGACCAGAAAAAGATGAAGTCAATACAGAGTTTATGTTATGGTATAGTATGGGGTATGGCATTAGTTAGACGTAATTTTAGTAGTAACTCTCAAGCAACCAGAAACTACATTTATCCAGAATCTAGCAATCGCTGTTGATGCCGGATAATGGGGAGTTTGCTGTACTATAAAAACAAAACAAAACTGCACATGTGTAGTTATAATTCCCGGACCCGAAATGCTGGCACTCCTCCCACCCCCGTAACTGCATTAATACCCTGGTTGCCCACATGGTTCTGACTGGTCTCAGGTCTCTATGGTGCTGTCCTACTGCAGATAATAAACATTTTCTGTATTTTCATTTTCAGTTTGTAGAGATAAAGGGGAGCGTGTTCAAGAAGTTTGAAAAAAACAATCTCTTCCAAATGTCAAACAGCGGTATGTATCATTTTCACTTTCTACTTACTGGTGATCTGGCCAGTAACACACTTCCACCCTATGGAGGAGCAATGGAGCCACCCTTAGACAGCAGCATTGTCATCCTGTGGAGAGAGTAGTGTTAGATGTACTAGCAGATGTAGATGGAATAAACCAACAAATTCAAACCGAACTCCAGCTTATACTTTTTAAGCACTTACAACAACAGTTATTTTTTCTTTTGGATAAAAGTTGACCATTGTGAGCACCCTTGTCAGTGTTAAATTGTTTGACCCAACCCTGTATCTGCCACTTTTGCTGGACAGCTTGGTCTGTACAAAGAAGTTGAAAAATAACAGACTCACTGGCCGGATCAACAGGTGAAAATAAAGGGAACAGGCCTAATAGAAAACGAATGAAGCCACTACTTCTAGGAATTAGTAACCTGCAATATATTACAATTTTACTTTTGGGTTAAAGGAGAACTATGGGGTCAGTGTTTTTCCCCATAGTTCTCCTAACGGTCACGGGAGGACACAAACTAGCATCCTCCCGTCACCCAAAGCTCAGTATAACACTTCCATGTGCATCTTGCTGTAAAGCTGATAACAAATTGATGAGTGCGTTTTCCATTTGTTTTGCTTGACCAAAGCTCAGTATATGGCGAGCTACAGCTCATCCTTTACTGAGTCCGCCGCAGCCGGGTCGGATCCCTAAATTACTGTCGACATCCACCGAGCTGTGTGAGTGACAGCTGGCTCTGCCTATCTAGAGGCAGAGCCAGCTCTACCCTCCCCCGTCCGTTCCGCCAGCCAGCCTGGAGCATCGGACAGGGGAGGGGGGGAATCCCTGCAGGGAGCAGTGAGTGACAGTCACGGTTCTCTGCAGGGACAGGATCGAGAAGTGAGCGAGCGACGGTATGTGTTCGCTCACTTCGCAGTCTCATTGTCACACGTCGGCTCGAACTATGAGTTTGAGTGAAAATCACTCACCTCATAGTTCTCCTTTAAGATATAGATTTTAACAAATGTGCAAAGGCGCCCGGCTTCCTGATTGGCCAGAAACCCAGCTCCACCTAGTGACGAGAAGCATGCAGAAGGCTTCCCTGCTAATCGGGAAGCCGGGTGGCGAGTCTTTACACACCAGCCGACTTCTCGGCTAATCAGGAAGTCAGGTGGCGAGTCATTACACGCTGCCTGGCTTCCTTAATTGGACTTTTGGTATCGGCGAGTACCGAAACAAAAATATTGGTACTCGATACCGAAAAAACGGTATCGCTTCCATTCCTAGTTACTGTAATATAACATGTCTGATTTGTGCTCATAACTCTTGGTTTGGCTACGTGGAGACGGGCATACTGGGTAACGATGAATATGTTCCTCACACACTTTTCAACTTGGGCCCTCTTGGTCGCATGTCACTTTTGTACATCACTCTAACAAGGAACTTTACCCATATCTTTGAAATGACAACAAAGACACCTTTAGAAATGTTTAGTAATGACAAACACATACTTCTAGATAATTGCCGGCTTTGTATTCTTTGCATACCTTATTTTTCTTTTCCGCATTGTTCTCACAGTCGCCATTTTTTACTAAGGGCAGATTAATCCATCTCCCTTTGCTTCCTGGAACTCTGGCACACATGACTAGGACATGTGACCATACACATCCTCTCAGGGGAGGAAAATGCCTTTCTCTGAGACCATGTGAGATCACAGATGAGATTTCCCAGCAATGCTCTGCTGATGTAACCTTCCCAGGATGCAACGCTTGGGCACGATTACGTCACTAATGCCCAAGAGGACCAGGAAGTGTAAAAACAGTAATTGTAAGTAAAAACAAAATATGTTTAATAAATTTAAGATGATTTCATATCGGCATGCAGAACTGCATGCTGATGTGATTTTTAGTGAAAGGGGGTAAAGGTCCGCTTTATTATAGCAGAATAGATAGTGAAAGATCCCGTGTGTGGCATTTTTTTTTAAGCTACTTGCTACCGAGGCGAGACTATTCCTGCTGCCTGCGCTGGTAATCTACTTTAACAGGAGTGGTGAACGTCCACAGTGATATACAATCTAAGCTTTGAAAGCTGTGTTTTGGCAATGATCTCCCTGCAAGTGTAGATAACTTATAGATTTGTACTATGTTTATTTAGCATTTTCAACCCTTCCTAGCTGTACATGGCTCAAATATCTGCCCTAATAGTTCACTTCTTCTTTCACACTTCATTATTCCTGAGTAGTTTCCTGCAATTCAATTGTTACTTTAAGAAAGTTTTCAATCTGGCTTGCAGATAAAGTACATTTCACAGGTACATTTCAGTGTTTCCAGACTGAATCCCCATTTGTTATATAGGGGCAACAAAAGAAATCAGTTTCATACTCGGCCTTTCCTTTTCTGCTACTCTCTACTCCAGGCCAGAGTTTCTCATCCTACTTCTTCCCACACTCATGATTATCTTAATCTTCCTTAGGCAGAGCCAAAATGTCAGTCTGGTATTTAGGCCCTTTCATGGCCACCCACAACTCAGAGTTTAGGGTGGCATAAGCTTTTTATTAATGGTGCTATTGAATGTGTTTGGTGTCAGGTTTGGAAGTGTTTTGTGCCAAGGCTTTATCAGTAATGAGCAGTGAAAGGTGTACAGGACATAGATCATCAGATGTAAGATTTATTGGAATGCAGAGTAGCTATCCGCTGTCATTTCAGGTAGATGAAGGAAGACACATGCGGCATAAGGCAACATATATCCAGTATTCCTAGTGCATTCTCTTTATTTATCTATAACTGTAGATGAAGACATATCTGACAATGTGTACTAACTAGCAGCAACCGGGTTTTCTTTTACTCTGGTCATGTCAGAGAAAGATCATTTCTGATTGGTTGATATGGATTACTGAAATTTGGAAACTGCTCCTTTTCCTACTAAATAAGTAACTTTTAAAGTGGTTCTCTGTAAATTACTTTTTCTCTGGGTTTTAGGATTACTATACACTGGCAGGTCTTATGAAGACATGCTTAGATTTAGTATGCCCCCCTTTTCATAGCTGGTCAGTGTTCCTCCTTTACATGGGTAGTCAGTGTACCCCCATTCATATAGGCGGTCAGTGTGCCCCCTTTACATAGGCGGTCAGTGTGCCCCCTTTACAATAGGGGGTCAGTGGCATTTCACCCTCTTAAGTTAGGGGTCAGTAGAAATAGTGTGCATATGTATTTGACTAAAAAGTGCTGCAGAAGTTCCCACACTGCTTTGTCAGGCCGGAACTATGTAGACAGCATTGAGTTGGATATCACTCCATCTGACGCTGCCTGCATGCAATAGAGCAAATCACTCACACAATGGGTCACAAGCTCTTTACGGTCTCTCTAACATGACTTGGGGTGTAATGTTTAGTGACACCTATGAGCGGAAGTCTGGGGACATTTGTTATGGTGACAACTGTCAGAAAGAATTTCCCTCACTTACAATAGATTTGCTCCCATTTCCCGATTGTGTCTAAGGGAAATCTTCTCAATGGGACAAATATGGGAAAAAAGAAGTGGAAAAGGATGGTGTGGTTCAGTTTATTATTTGAACATTACAGTGATGTTCGTTGTTAAACTCCTTTGGATATGAATGGTTATGATCTCTGTAGATTATTTTGCCACCATAGAGATTAGTAGAAAAAAATAAACAAAAATTAAGCAGTAGCTATGGCGTTTGAGATATATTAGGGCTGTCCCGATGCCACTTTTTTAAGTACAAGTACTTGCCCTCGTGTACTTGCCGATACCAATTACCGATACTTTTCCTATGGGGCGCTGTGATTTCTAGTTACGCCCCTGATAACATGATCAGGTTAATCATGATCCATAGTACAGTACAATCCATAGTACAGTACTATCTGATTGGACAACACATTTTATAGGAGACATACTCCGCGCTGGCGGATCGGAGCGGGGAGGGGGGAATCCATCCCCTCCCCTGTCACGGCAGAGAGCCGTGACAGGATCGAGAAGTGAGCGAACACCGGCATGCGCTTGCTCACCTCCCGATCTACTGAGCCGACCTGTGACAGTCTCATTGTCACAGGTCGGCTAGAACTATGAGGTGAGTGAAAAGCACTCACCTCATAGTTCTCCTTTAAGTGTATTCTATTAACAAGCTTTCCTAGTTCAGACAGTATTTGTAAAAGTTTGACAGAGGTGCTATCTGCCAAGTATAGTAATTCATGATGTGGGTATGAAATGCATACATAGTATATGGATCGGTATCGGGACATCCGTAAGATATATTGACAAATATTTTTTTGGTAGCTTCACCTCATGTCTACATGCCTATGTCTTGCCTTTCATTGGTGACCTTTTAATATCTTTTTCCCTCCTCACAGACATAAAAGAGAGATTCACAAACTACGTGTTACTACTGATTGTATGTCTGCGAAACATGGAGCAGTTCTCATGGAATCCAGGTCATTGTCTTGTTTGTTTAGCTATTACATTGATTATCAACTAATTTAATGCATGTGTTTGAAAAATAAAATCTTGCATGTCTTGCTGATTAATGCAAATAGTTTCTCAGTTTGGACTCACAAGGTACCCATAAACGTGAAATTACATTTCTGGGGGCATTCCGTACACCAGCAGTGCACAGAATGCCTCCTTAAATTCCACTGAATTTAAGAAAATTACAGCTGCTTCAGATTGAAATCGAAAGGTAATTTTTAATACTATTGAAGCACAAGATGGCTTGTGTAGCCTTTTTTCTTTCATATATATACATTTTCCAAGTGGCATTTTTCTTTAAAGATAAATGGTATACATCTATTTAAAACTGATTTGCCATTCTCTCTAATAAGGACCTTTGCTGTTCCCATTAGGGGTAACTCCATCATGACCATGATGTAGCTCATGGTAGGCTTAACATGAACTCTCTAAGGTGAAATATATGCATATGTAGAACAGGAGATTCGGATTCCAGTGACTTGAAAATATCGCTTTTGTACTTCTCTGCAAAATGATACTGGGCTAAGCAGCATTAACAGGTACCAGTGACGTAGTAGAGTGTGTACGCCCTAAAACAAGTATAGAGACCATATGAGAGAAAGGCAAATATCCCCTTTTGATGTGGAAGTTTTGACTCAATCAGTCACTTAAGGTATTGTGAAATAGTTTAAAATATGATAAAAATAGGCTTGATGTTAAAAAAAAAAAAAAAAAAAAAAAATATATTCCAGATTTTGAAAAACTGG